CTAAAATTAAGCTGAAAAGAATCGAAAAATAGCTTGAGTCAAATTTAATTTTGATGAAACTAATTTAAAAGTAGATCGAAATGTGTATGTATGTAGATATGTAGAAATGTCTTTACATATGTGCATATATTTAGGCAAAATAGGGTTTGATTAGAGATAGAAGCTTTGGCGATTCGTGCTTCCCTCTAGGGATTCGGGGTGTTTCACTTTATTTTTTTCCTTTCTCTTGGGAAAACCCTATCTTCTTTTGATGGTCGTCGTCTGCAAAAAGCGTGATAGTAAGATATAAAGAGAAGCTATAGGGATTCGAGCTTTTCTTTAAGCTTTCTATGTTTCTTTTTGTTTTTTTCTTTCTCTTAGGAAAACCTAATCTTCTTTCCATTTTCTTCTTTTTTATTTTGGCGTTCCTTCAAATTTTGGGGTTTCTTTGGCCCTTCTTTTTTATTTTCATGGATTCTCCCTCTAAGTTCTAGATCTTCTCGATCGGTTATTGACCCTATTCCAGCTCTTAGCAGAAAGAGTTTAGTTTCTTCACATATTAACAGCCCTTTAAATGTCAATTTGTCTTACATTCCTTGTTCACATGATGAGTTTTCTTTATTTGAACTTGAAGTTCAAGAAGCAGCGGAACTTGACCTTGGTTGGATATGCTTTAAGGAAGACGTCATTTTATGGTAATTTATAGCGAGCTATTAATAGTACCTAAAAACTAAAAAGGTGTGGTTGCTCTATTATCTTATACATAACGTCTTTTTTATTTAAATTTAATTTGTGAAGAGGGTTTGGAAATGACTCTAATGGATAGCCCTTGGTTCATCTATGGAAAATAATTTATCTTTAAGAGATTGTATCCTGATTTTAGGTCGGTAAAAGAAGATTTTAGAGAAGTTCCCATTTGGGTGAAATTCTTTAACTTACTTTTGTGCTACTGGAATGAAGTTGATTTTTCTAAAATTTCAAGTAAAGATGGCTTTCCATTAGCTGTTGATAATTTAATGACTAAAGATTCCAGTCTTTGTTTTTTAAGAATTAATATTCAAATTGATATCAATTCTCATCTCATATATACGAGTAAGAATTTATTTTATTTCTCTTGTATGAGTGAAACCAAGTCCCTATATGATATGTTTCGCAATTGTTCATGATTCTTAACCTTGTCATATTAAATAATCATTAATTTGCTCCTATTTTACTTGTATTTAGGGGTAGGAATAGTAACAAGAATAATAATACACAAAAATTTCATAGAATTAGGAGAAGACCTCCTCTTCTTTTTCCTGTTATTGTTCATGTTTCGATACATGTTGTCTATAATTCTAGTATTGGTCTTACACCCGATCTTAAAATTAATGTTGTTGTTGAATTATCTTCTAGTAATAATGGTATGAATGAAGATGTTGGAGAAATTCATCATGTGGTTTCTAATGTTAATCTTATAGACTATGTTGCCTTTGGAGTTAACTGGCCTTTGATGCCTTTCTTAATGTTCAAGATTGTTTAATTATTGGTAATGAGCATAACATTGTTGATGGCTCAGCTATTCCTATAGAAGATTTCTCTAGTTTATATAATGTTACAGTTTTGTTATTGTTGCAGATCCACAAGTAATATTTCTATTAGAAATAGTATCATTGATACTTTTATTTAATTATACAAATACTCCTAAGGCCTCCTTTCTCTTACCAAAGAAGTCGTAGAGGTGGCCAACTGGTGCCACTATCCAAAAAATTTTTAGGTTCATTTTTGTAAATACTAATTTGAATAGAATGTTCATGGAGCTGCTAGTGTTGACCAAAATACTACTTATCTGATAGTTGTCTATCATTGTTGTCACGACAATGACATCATTATAAGGATTTACCCTTAGGGGCAAGTCTTCGTAAGTGAAAGTGGTTGGTGGATGAGTACTGCACTTCAGGGCAAAGGCAGTTGCACGCAGTTCTCCCAATTGGAGCCTCTTCAGCTGGTTTGTCAGGATGGTTCTCCACCTCAAAAAATAGCTAGTACAAATCTATCAATGTGGATGACATTCGCTCAAGCTGGCTCATCTGGGATTTCTTTTACTGGAGCCTTCCTCTGCCTTTGGGTCACTGCTCCTAGCGCCACAAATTTCTTGATATTTCTAACTTTTATCAACTCCTCAACCAGGTGCCGAAGGTGTCTACATTTCAGCATCATGGTCATGGTACTTGTGGTAGACACAATACTTCTTTATGTCCCAGAGAAAAGCTCTGGCTCTCATTGATGGTGCCTTCTTGAAGTACTCCTTATTTTGAATAGCCTCTAACATTGAGACTCTCAGTGGAGGGGCATTTGATGCTTCATAGACATTCAACGGTCTCTCAGGATAACAAGTTGATTATTGGTCAGAGTATTGCACCTTACCTTCTCAGTTGTGGTTCTTGTCGGCCCCCTATAGTTCTGAAGTGGTTGGTTATCTTTATATCATGGCCAAGTGGAAAGATGTGAGTTTTCCCTTCATCTTCACTTATCATCTCTAAGGGCCTTCTTCTACAGATGATGGATGGCTGATTCTGTAATGGTGAACGCGGGAGTGGAGTTGTTTTCTTTAGCTAAAATGTGAATGTTGGTCAACCTCAACAATTTAGTTAAAGTCTTCAGTTGTTGGATACTTATAGCATAATAGAAGGGTCCCTCATTCAACCTGTGAGCTATGGTGGAGGTGCAACTACGAGTTTCATATCCTGCACTTCCAACATCTCTTTTTGGAATCATTTGATAAATGAGCAGAGGCTCTCAACTTGTCCCTATTTGAACTACAGTAAGGCCAGTGAAATCTTCTGTGGCTTTTGGACACTGGAAAACTGTGTCACAAACATTCTTTTAAAGTAGGCAAAGGAAGAGATCACTCTAGCCGATAATCCATTGAACCACCCGGTGACTGACTCCCTAAGCATGGTGAAGAACATATGACACTTAGGGCATCAATAAACCTCAATAGACAGATGGCAGCTCAAAAGATGTAATATAATTGACCAAATAAGTCTAACACTTGTTGAAATCCTATAAGGGGATTGTGAACTTCTCTGGGAGCTCAACATTAGAAATTTGTCAAGGCAACACATTTTTTGGCTAACGGGGAGCCTTAGTACTAAAAAATTGCTGTCTATCCTTCGGTGCAGGACCCTACACCATCCTGAAACTGAGAACCTCCTACTCTTTTGAGGGATGTAGTTACCCTTCAACCATTGTGAGCCGACACTTCCTCCTTAGCGTTCTGCTCCCTTCAATTTATTGTGGCTTCTCAAATGGTCTCCACCATCTGACCCATCATTTGGTTTATCAACTCTTGGATCTATTGTTGTACAAACTCCCTAGTACACTCCATATTTGAAGTCTTTTTGGTGGGCTTCTTCTCGTATTGTGCTCCTCTTCTTATTGCTGGCATGATTCATGATCATCATCCTTTTGGGATGTTGAATATGAATCTATCATGTACAACACACCCAAAAAATAGAGCATACATCAGGAGAGAGAGAGAGAGAGAGAGAGAGAGAGAGAGAGAGAGAGAGAGAGAGAGAGGGTGTGTGTGTGTGTGTGAGAGAGAGAGCGCGCGCGCAATAATGAACAATAGAATGAGGAAATCGTGTAACGTTTTATTTATGAAATGTCCCCATATTTATATAAAATGTGGTGTTATAAGTGAAGTTATATTTTTGCCCCTACTTAAGTGGGATCTACACATATTATTATATGTATTTCACTATAAGCCCAAGACCATACTGCTCTCGGGCTCTGTCATCTGAACTTGGTAGGACTTCATCAAGCTGTTGCCAATCGATTAGATTTGGTAGTGTTGTCGGTTGACTGTGCTGTGAAAGTCTTGGCGGGCGTACAGTTCAAGTGAATCACTTTTAGCTATCATAATGTTAGATTCGTATACGCTACTAGTCGATTTATCATATATTGGTCGGGAGTCAGTAGAACTGATCAGCTAGGTATTGTCGAATCATTGACAAAATGATTTGTAGTGATGGACTCTTTGCTCAATAGCCAGCTTCTCTACCCACGAGAGTTCTTTGATGAGAGTCAAGGGCTGTCTTTATATGAAGAGATCTTCGGAGAAGGCTACTGGTTGCCCCCATCATAGCCATAAGATCATAGGGATTGATTTCATTGAAGTGTTAGACTCCGGTGATCATTTGTCTTGGGACTAGGCGAGCTGCTTGACTCGTGCCATATACTCATCTTTATAATGATTGTCTTTGAGTTTGGTTCATTTGGTCGGACATTTTGATCCCCAGGTCTCCTGTCAGTGAGTCCACCCTTCAATATCCCATTTTTGTCTCCTAGATCAACAGATCTCTTCATGATTATGGCCGACGTAGTTTTTGTGTGCTAAAACATAAATAAAGTAAGATTTAAAAATAAAAAAAATAAAGATTAAAAAATAGAAAATAAAAAATAAAAAAAAATAATCCCAAACAAAATAATTTTTTTCCCCCCACAACCAGCCTTCATATTTGGACCCACAAGTAATTATCCACCTTAGAAAAAGATATTTAGCTAGAGATTCAAAGGCAATCAACTGGGTGCTAGTACACAAGTGCCTAACTAATGGTTGATATCGTCCATCTCGGCAATAATTTCTCTTTGTAAGGGACAAATTTGGTTTTATAAGCATATGTATGTTTGCACTAAGATAGTTATTCATAACTGTATTTATATTTTCTCAAATAATAGCTGATAAAATATAAAAAATATTACTCAAAATTATTGATTGTAAGGATATTATGAGTAGTACGCATTAAATAAAATTAAAAAAATATGTTCATGGATAAACATATTGATAAGCATCAAGGGCAGGTACGCCATTTCGCCCAGATTTGAGACCCGAAAACCCTAACCCAACGCGCACACTGCGGCGGCGCGCCAGCCGCGGCTACATCCTAAGCGCCACGTGTGCACCGGATGCGATCCTCATCCCCGACTGACGTGTTCAAGAACTGCATCGTCCGGCTATAAATACCACGCCTCTCCATTTTTCTGATTTCCTCCCGGCCTGGCGGAGAGCATTAACAGGGGATTCAGATACGACGGCGAGAGTGAAGAGGGAAGGTGCGAAGAGACGGAGATGTTCTTTAGGGTTTAGTTGCGATTCTTCGTTTGGAGCAACCTGCTCTCTGTCTTGGCTCGAGATTCCCGAGCCAAGACGAAGAACTCCATTGATCGATTAGTCCTGAGAGAAGTGATCGAACAAATTTTTCAAGGGTTTCTGCACTTCTCTGTTTCTCTCTAAGAGGTAATTAACGATTGTGAGTGGTGTTTAGAAGTTTGATCCGGCGGGATCTGTGTTGGCCTCTGTGGTGTGTTGATGCGTGACTGATGTTGGTGCTAGGTTGGCGGCAAAGGGCGATGGCGTCGCCGAAGGAGGGTTTTCTGACCGATGAGCAGAGAGAGGTAATGAAGATTGCGGCGCAAAATGTTGAGGTTCTCTCGTCGTCTCCGAGATCGCCGACTGGGCTGGCCTTGCTGCTACCGGATCATAATAACAATAAGGGCGGAAGGCAGGTGGCTGCGGGAAACCCGGTGAGGCATGTCCGCCGCTCGCACTCCGGGAAGGTTGTGAGAGTGAAAAAGGGTGAGCTTTCTTTTTCAAATTTTTATTTACTCTTGTGCTGATGAGTTGACTGCTGCTGTTAAATTTGTTTGGTTGCTTAAATGATTCATTTGAGGATCTTTTAGCTAAAGATTATATGTCTTTTTTGTTAGATCGTCTGGATAGTTTTTAAATTTCATCATACAATAATGGTTGATTTGTTTGTAAATTTCTACGCATATGAGTTACGCCAAGGTTGTAGAAAAATTGAAATAAAAAATAAGAAAAGTTCGTTCAGTTCCGTGCCAACTTTTGAAGCTTGGTTGTCTGTAAGTGAGAACTGACAAGTGTAACATCAAGGTGCTAGGTGCCCAATTTATACTTTCTTAAATGAAGCATTATATTTCGAATAAATTACAAATACAATCTTAGGCCTTTTTTACGTAACCTTAAGATGGTATGCGCACCATATTCACTAAGAGTGGCAAGTGCCATTTTGTACAGCTTATCTACTTCTCAAAATTTTATTTTATTTCATAATTAAAAATTTCTATGCAATCTTATATATTTTAGGTTTTTTTTTCTGTAATATTTTTCTTGTTAAATATTAGTTGTGTGCCATAATAATTCAATATACACTGACAAATCATACCAAAATGCTAAGAACAATGACACTCAATGGTATTAAATGAAATTCGTTAATTGGACAAGGGAAATGTTGGATAGATGGATAAATAATGTTTTTATCCTGGTGTTTATGGATTTTGAACATCATGTGCTGATTTACATGAAATGCAATAGTCTTCAGATAAATGATAATTTTACTATATTGCTATTCATTGTTGGGTTAAACTTCTTGGGATTCTCTATCCTGACAAATTTTAATGAAATGAAAACTCGTGTTGCTATGTGCTAACTTTGCTCTTTGGTTTAAATCAACTTTTTAATCTTCCAAAATGAGCACTTAGCTAGATATACCCATTCAGAAAGATAAAAAGTTGGATGGAGGTCTTGGAAAATGATCGTTACGAAGAAAAATAAATCCAGAAGACATCAAATCTTGTGATTACTTGTGTTTCATTACTATTTATGATTTTGATGTATTTTAATTGGCATTTTTAGTTTCATAGATTTGTAATGATTATGTTTTATTTTGAATATTATGCCAAATAAAGTTTGCTTTCTTGCCATAAAATGCTTGATTTAGAAGAATTTATTATTAGCTTCTTGTACTATAGGTTTTACTTTTACCATATCATGAATGTCTTAAGAATATCTCTTCATTTTATTTTTTTTTTACTTTGAATTTGCAATTTATGGGATGCATTAATATTTTCTTGATTGCTTGATATGAGTCAGATTTGTTTTCGTGGCAAAATAATTGTACAAATTCTAAATTTTATTTATACATTAGAGGAACGGTTAGAATTGTATCTGTTGAAGATAGGGTGATTAAAAATAGACTTAGTATGATCATGTATAAAAAAAAGGACAAAAAATTCACCGATTAGACAAATAGCTGAAATTGAAGTAGGAGGATTGGGAATGAGAAGGGGTGAACTTAAGGTTTTCATGGACATAGGTGGTTTGAAATTCCTTGAAGAGAATATGCTTAAAGCTGCTGGCATTTATTTATACGGCCAATAATGATAATGATACAGATTGTTTAAAAAGTATATGATAAGAAAAATAAAACACAACTTTGAATGTATCTAATCTATAATCACTGAAGTATATCACACATATGAAGTTCTTTTTAAAAGAGCAATACTAGTTAAATTATTCTTAAAAAATGAAAATTTTCAAATCCTATAATAAGGTTGCTTTGATCCAAGTACACAAAATAGAATGGGGACATGATAAATAGTTGTATCATCTTACAAGCATAATTGAAAGCATATTTTTGAAGCTCGCTTATCACAACATGAAAGGCAAACTAACTCAGCTTTAAATGAATTTTCAAAATGTTTCAATTGAAAAATTTTTTTTTTGACCTAGACACAATAGTTCAAACTCTAACCTCTCTACCTAGAGTATGCTCAAGTGGTTGACCTTATAAGAGACAATTTGATGGAGCTATCATGTTTAATCTGTGAAAGAAGAAGTAACTTCTTATAAGTGGAAATATCATCGACATAGTTTTATCGATTCAGGAATATCGATGTCCTCTAGGTAGTTTTGGGCTTGAGTACAAGGGATTAACTCCAAGATTTGTGGCATATATTGAAAATTGACATCCATAAACTTTAATTACTTTAATAGTGTAAAATGCCTCTTAAGACATGGTTTGGCTTAGACTCTTGTTGGTGCTAGCTACACCAATTTAAAGGCAAACTTGACAATGTAACACCTGAGTTAACCCAAACGACAACGAGAAATACAACTTTTATCACTAAAGCAAATAAGGTTTTATAACGAACACACATCGAAATAAGAACGAACAATCGATACTCAACACAAACACCAACTAGGGCACAAATCCAAGAATTTGGTGTTGCTGTTATTCTCTCCGTCTCCCCCTCTTCCAGTTTTCCCACCACAAAGAGGCATTTTTCGTCAGCTTGATGGCGTCGAGCTTCACTTTTATGTCATTTGGTACATCCTTGTATTCAAAGATCCGCTCAACAATTTGCTTACTCTCGCGAAAATCATATAGATTTATCCTCCCATTGAAGTCGGGTAGGTCCACCCTAACTCTTAGATTTTTGTGCCCTCTTTTAGGCACTTCCTTTATCGGCCTCCTTTGATACTAAATTTCGAAATGCCAAGGTCGATTCTCCTCTTCATTGAATTCATCCTTACAAAAGGTGTTCACCTGTTATTATGGCTGCTTCCAAGGGTTACGATCAACTTTGACCTCTCCCATGGCCATTTCCTCATTGGTCTCGAGTTGATGTAGCACTTGCAGAGTCTTCGTTGTATTTCACCCATGGTAAAATCTCGGTCAGGTTTTTGACAAATATCTGCTCGCCAGCATCGTTAGGGTTTAGGGTTGGATAGGCGGGAGGTGTGTGTAGGTGGAGAAAGAAAATTTTTGGTGGGGTTGGATATACGTTTTGGTATGACGGATGTTAGAAACTTTAGGATATGACAAGGGTTAGGCTAACTCTGATTCCAAATGATACCATAAATGTAACTTTTATTATGAAAGCAAGTAAAGGCTAGAACAAACACACACTAAAATAGTAAAGAACAATAAACACGCAAAATAAACATCAACTAGGGCGCAAATCAAAGGATGTGGTGTTGTGGTAGGAGGGGGAATAGCCTACGGAGGGTTGTATGGTCGAGAGGTGACTAGGGGAGGGGCGGTAGCAGCAGAGGATGGTGACAGAGGGTTTGTTAGGTGGTTGGCAGATAGTAAGTGGGGTGGTTTGTAGCAAGTGGGTTGCGACAGAGTGGTGGAACAATAGTGACAAAAGAATTGTGGTGGAAGGGGCAACAACAAGGCTTTGGAGGGTTGGTCGGAGGTTGGATAACTGTCGGACTGCTGGTAGAACAGTTTCGATGGGGATGACAACAAATCAGGTGATCGAGATGAAGGTCGGGGAATGAAGGAAGCATAGATAAACATCATCAAGTTATAGCTAGAGCACCTTCTTGTCTTCGAATACAACCCTGGAAGGGAAAATTTCCACGTTGATGGTTGTCTTGACAGAAAGCTGAAACAAAAATGACCTAAAACATATTAAATGATGTGCTTAGGACTGTTTGCTCCCTCCCTAGTTTGGATTGCATTGGTCCCGATACAAAAGCGTCTTTTGCCGCAAATGCCTTGCGTCAAAAGGTGACCCAATTTCGTGGCTTGGCTTGACTTAAGCAAACTCAATCCTATCTCAACAAACACAACTTAGTCAAGAGATGTAGAAATAAATCAAATAATATTTATCAAAACATGACATATCTGTTAAAAAAAAAGAATAAATAACGATGATCTTGATTTAATATTTTTTTAGTAGCTTTTTCAATGTTTTATGCTTTAAATTGTTGTTGCATTTCTATTTGACTATGATTTTTTTCTGCTTTTAAAAATTCTATGGTGAATCTTTTTAACAACTAGATCTATTAAACTATTGTAGCGTGTTTTACTTTTTAAAACGGTAAAGAACCTGCAGTACCTACAAAAAAAAAAAGACAAGTCTACTTTTACAACAATAGTTTTACTAGTATTACCAACAGCTGCAAGTGCTTTAAACAAACTCTTAGTGTATCACAAAGTCAAATTGTGAACTATTCATATGCTTGCCAAATTAAATACTTTGAGGAGATGAGGGAAGCATACTTTTCATGTAAAATTGGAAGGTCTAATGGCTCAAATTAAATTAGCATTTATTTTTTTTATCTATTTAAAATTCAAATTAGTTGAGCTAGAATTCTATGGTGCTAACAATTACTTCGTGCAAAAGCTCATCTTTAGATGACAAACTTCTCGTCCAAGCAACTTTTATTGTTAAACACTATTCAACTTTTGGTTATGATCATTTGCCTCAGGTGAGACGTTTCTATCAATGTTGCATTCTTTTTGAGACTGCATGTTCTGTCAGTAGACTATGGTTAAATTATTTCTATCTCATCCTTGAGTTTCCCCTTTTATTCTATTTGATTATGAGCAACCCCAAAGCAACATAGGACACTTTGGCGTGGACTTAGTCAAGAGATGTAGAAATAAATCAAATAATATTTATCAAAACATGACATATATGTTCCAAAAAAAAAGAATAAATAGCGATGATCTTGATATAAGATTTTTTTAGTAGCTTTTTCAATGTTTTATATTTTAAATTGTTGTTGCATTTCTATTTGACTATGATTTTTTTCTGCTTTTAAAAATTTCAATGCTGAATCTTTTTAACAACTAGATCTATTAAACTATGGTAGCGTGTCTTACTTTTTAAAACTGTAAAAAACCTACAGTACTTATAAAAACTGAAAAAGACAAGTCTACTTTTACAACAATAGTTCTGCTAGTATTACTAACAGTTGCAGGTGCTTTAAACAAACTCTTAGTGTATCACAAAGTCAAATGGTGAACTATTCATATG